TGTCTGGATGAAACCGTGTGACAAATGGCTAATGTTCATGATGTTGTTAATGAACTCAGACACCTTGCTGATTTATCAGAAGACAGTGTCGTTAGTACTAATTATGTACAGTATCGTGTTGACTGTCTAACTGAATGGATAATGCAGTTTGAAGCAGATAACGACACAGATGTTTGACACGAAGCTGAAGTTAGCTTCAGATTCCAGCTTCCGATTCGGGAAATGACTAAAGGGATATTACAACTAATTTTTCACTCCCTTGCGCGTGTTTAACCTGCTCTAGCTCAAAAACTACAACACCTACACTCTTCAAATCTGGACTCGATTATTCTACACTAATAAAAGAATATTTAAAAACACGTTTGGGATTTGGGAAACCTTTGTCTGATTTGTGAAAAATCAATAAAGTTTGTTTTTCATCATTTTTATGCAACTGGACCACATTAGATCTGGTCCAGCTCAAAAACCACAACACCTGGACTCTTCAAATCAGGACTAGATTATTCTACACTAATAGTGAAATAATAAAAACTAAGTTTGAGCTTTGGGAAACCTTTGGCTGATTTGTGAAACATCAATAAAGTTTGTTTTTCATCGTTTTTATGCAACTGGACCACACTAGACCTGCCAAAATGGCATTTATCATGCATCTGATTTCCATCAGAATCATGGTTGGTTAGCATTATTCACAAATTCTGCACATTTTTGATAACTGTAATGAAAAAACTGCGCAGGAGCAAAAGTAATTCAGCAGTGCAGAGATGACAGAGCATGACAGTCATAGGTTTGCTCTCACTTGCTCTCACTTCATAAGCTCTCACTTCATGCTTATGCAAAATAACAGAAAAAATGGTCACTGATAGATTAATTTATTTTTTAGAAACTAAAGAAAAGATTAAATGTTATCAATTTGGCTTCAGAAGAGGTAGAAGTACTATAGATCCAGCTTTGTGTTTAGAGCATGAAATTAGACAAGCTCAAGTTAATAAAGAAAGTGTAGTGGCAGTGTTTCTTGATGTTGGAAAGGCTTACGACATGTTATGGAAAGAAGAATTAATGATTAAAATAAAGCAGATGGGAATTAAAGGAAAAATGTATAGTTGGATAAAAAATGTATTAACACAACGTAGTGTTAAAATAGGGTGCGATGTAAGTTCTAATTATCAAATAGAAAATGGAACCCCTCAAGGAAGTATAATTAGTCCAGTATTATTTAATATTATTATTAATGATATTTTTAGTAATATAGATAAACATATAGGCGTTTCTTTGTTTGCAGATAATGGGATTATTTGGAAAAGGGGACGGAGAATAGATTTCATGAAAATAAAATTACAAAAAGCTTTTATGTAATATAGAATCTTGGGTATTAAATTGGGGATTTGGATTATCTTCATCCAAAACAAAAATAGTTATTTTCACAAATAAAAAATCAAATCCTCAAATTAATTTTAAACTTCATGAAAATAAAATTACAAAAAGCTTTTATGTAATATAGAATCTTGGGTATTAAATTGGGGATTTAGATTATCTCCATCCAAAACAAAAATAGTTATTTTCACAAATAAAAAGTCAAATCCTCATATTAATCTTAAATTATATGGAAACGAAATAGAAAGAACTGATTGCTTTAAATATTTAGGTATCTGGTTTGACAAAAAACATACATGGAGAATACATATAGAGAAAACAATAGAAAAATGTAAAAATAAATTAAATATGTTAAGATGCTTGAGGGGTAACGATTGGGGTGCTGACAGAACTGCTTTAAAAAGTATTTCTATAGGGCTAATCAGATCAACTCTTGATTATGGGTGTATCATTTATAGGTCTGCCTCAAAAACATTCTTAGGTAAATTATATTTAATTCAGTACAAAGCTTTAAGACTTTGCTGTGGAGCAATAAAATCCACTCCAGTTTCTGCATTACAGGTCGAGATGGCTGAAATACCATTGGATCTTAGAAGATTACAACTAGAACTTACTTAATGGGCAAATCTTAAAGGACACAGTGAAAAACATCCTCCGCAAACAGTTCTACAACCATGTCAAGAAAAATTAAAGAAAGGAATCAATAGTTTTGGTTGGATAATTCAGGAAAAATCAAATCAATTGGAATTAATAATTATATGATCTGTAACACTATTAATATGTCTAATATTCCAACATGGATTCTTGGTCAGGTTTCTACAGATTTATATTTACTCAAAAAAGGTAGAGAATTAAATAGTACTGAGGTAGAAAAATACATTGGAAGGGAGTATTCAGAATATACAAAAATTTATACAGATGCTTCAAAAATGGAAGATAACAGAGTAGGCATATCATTTATTATTCCAGATTTAAACGTAATGAAACATAAAAGAATCACAGATAAGTTAGCGGTTTATACAGGAGAACTTATGGGAATTCTGCTGGCATTGGAATGGGTGGAGG